AAAAAAAAAAAAGCTGTCAGTTTGCCCCTGTTAAATTAATGAACATTTACGTTTGAGGAAGGACAGTTACCGAAAGCATGAGCTGCATTTTCCTGCGGTGCATGTGCATCGGCATCAACGTGTACCGTAATCGAGATGTCGAGGCCGGCGGTCGATTCCATGGATGTTTAATCCGTCGAGGCCGATGTGTATGACGGAATAGGGGCCATCTCGAATAGGGCGAGTTGGGGGGATCCGTCTCATAGGAGCCAAACTATCTCCAACCATTTTTATCGACGATGATCTTCGTGAGTTCCCTAGCTCATTTATCTCCGTGAACGTAGATTGGGTAGTCATATGGAGTATGCATACGTTTAATGCCCAACTTGAAGAGATCAGTCAAGCAAGGGGGAAGAGATGGGGTGTCCGTGTTTCATAGTTTTTTTCCATGTCAAGGTCTCGCAGGCGCCAGCATGCAGAGGCACTTACTCCGTAGTTTTGACCTTGCTTATCAATTTAGGTTCGTCTCCGGCTTACCTAGCTGCAGTGACCACTCCAAGGGCTGCAGAAGCGATCTATGGAAGAAGATGGGCCTGCTCAAGTCTCCCAGTCTCCATATTCGTAATCGGGGGAATACAGTATCGTCACTGCAGGCTGTATTTCGCATGAAAGTGTCCCGGGGTAAGCAGCAATAATTGGGATATTTTTTGTTTTTTACCGTTCGTTGGGGAGATGTCTTCGTAACGGAATGTCTCGTGCATCTCCAAGGCGGGGGCCCCAAGCAGCTGCGTCTCTCCCGTTGACAGAGATACGATAATTAGGTACCTGGTGAGAGAGCGGTTTGGGCGCTTTCGAAGTACCCCCCGTCTCGTGATGTCAGTAGGATCTGGTCCATCTGGAGGTCCCCAGACTCACTGTTCCTCCTGTCTTCTTTTCTTTTTTAGACTCATCCTTTCGTTCTCGCCTGCTCGCATGAAGCGCCTTGGTCCAGGAGCCTCTGGCGGCAGTACGACGTCGTACCGTTAGTGGAGAAATAGCCTGGTGGGCCCATGAGGTGACAACGAGCCAGTGAGACAAGATGATTGGACATATCGTAGTCTGTTATGCCGGACGGAGGTACGGAGGACGGGGGAAGGATATGGTTATTTTAAAGGGCGGCAAGTCGATCCATCTCATTTGTCCCCTGTATTTGACGTCCACCCAACATAATAATTTGCTGGTTGATGACAGCCATATTACACGCTCGGTCCTAAGCAGCATCATAACCACTACTTTAAGGCGGTTAGAGAGAACCGAACATAATGCACACCATAGTTAAACTACGGAGGAGAGCGTCTTTGGCTTCTCTCTGTCCGGGTTTGGTTGGTCCTTGGAATCCTGGTTGTCCAATGTCCACGATGTTCTGCCTGAAAATGGCAGATGCATGCAGCAGTTGGTCAAGTAAAGAAAAAAAAAAAGACCAATTGGATGTATGGAAGTATCAAGTACTTTCGTGCTTTTCGGAACGTGGTCGGTGCCCTTGTGCTTCGATCGGTTGAAGATCTGATGATCCGATCTTTTGTCCTCCTTGTTCTCTTTCTTTTCTTTTTTTCCATCCCTTTTCCTTTTTTGGGCTTCCTCTTGGTTTACAATCCAGATGCAAGTGGGATCCTTGGTCCAGAAGTCTAACCCCACTGCTTCGAGCACTTCCCCGTCTCTTACGGGGTACATTCATCATTCGATGTTTAGTCCGAGCTAGTTAGCCTTTGTAGTGAGTGGCATGCAGAGGTACTTTTTGGTACGACAGAGGATTCCTTGGAAGAAATTGCTGTTTTGTTTGAACTTTGCGGTACTCGTATGTACTGTTGGCGTGATGCAGAGTGAAGCAGGGTCTTATAGTGCGGTATTGAGATGCAGGAACGGAAGTGGATTTAGTACTTTTTGGAAGAAAGCCATGCTTCTGATTCGCAAAGAGAGAAAGAGAGCAGAGAGGGCTGATGACAATAATATTTGTTGTCCGTTCGCCTGAGGCTGCTGACCTATCATCTGCGAGGCATGGAGATGAAGCAATAGGGGACTGAACGGCATCCTGTCCTCCTTTTCCAGCCCTCCAACCCATCCCCGTACCACCCAGGACGTCTAGAGAAACCTAGAAGTAAAAAATAAGAGACGAAGGGGGAGGTAGTTTCAAGCCACAGCTCCAGGTTCTCGGTAACCAATTTGCCACACCAGATGAGGCCCTATGGGTTAGTTAGTATGTGTCAATTAATGTAGAATCGGGTTGATTGATCACCAGGACAGGAGATTGGAGGCAGTCACCGCAAACGCCCTGCAGACAACGCTGTTGAGCAGCAACTGGCGGCCGGCCTCAGAGACCAAGAGTGTGCGACCCAATGCAGCCCCCAAATTCGAGTCGTCTCGGTCAGCGGGCCTCTCAGTTGTATGCACAGGAGATCCCCTCGTCAGCGTCGCTGGACGTTGGCCGTCTTCTCGTACTCCTCTGGCGGCGTTTTGTCCCTTCGGGCCGCAGGCCTATCAGCGCCGCCGGTGGCTGTGGCTGTGCACACCCACACACCAGCCACATATCAAAACTCTCTGTCCGCTAGCGAGGGATGGATCTTGCCTGCCCACTGCCCACCCTCCAGGGGGCCTGCTGTTGTCATGTCCAGACGGCGGGATCTGGGATCTTCCTGCAAGCGCTCCCTCAGGCCCGTCAAGTCCGTCCGTCTTGTCTCTGCCTGAAAGCAGGGCGCGCGCGCAAGAGGAGGCAGAAAGGCCGAGAAGAGGCCGAAAGTGAGGCGGGTCGTCCAAACTAGCAGCTTTGCGGCTCGTTAGTTAGGCTGCAGGGTTTTGTGGCTTGTTAGATTTTTCTTCTTGCTTTGCTTTGGTTCTTGCTTTCGCTCTCGCTCTCGCGCTGCTTCTGTTGCTGCAGCTGCTTGTCTGTGGCTTGCCTCGTCCGTGTGGCTTGTTCGTCATCCGGCGAAATATACAATATCAGAAATCCAAGATATCAAAAAACAACCTGTGCACGGCAGCAACCCGAGGACCACTGTCTCCGCCATTTCCCACCTTTCGCATTGCTTTCCCTCTCTCCCTTGCTCCAATCGATTCCATGCTTGTTTTATTTTTCCTCCACCCCCCATTTAGAGTATTTCTTTGTGATATGTCCGATCAACTCTCGTCTTCTGATATCGCCACTCTATCCGGTCAGTCTGCCCTATTGAAGGAGGTCAAGCCGCAGGAACAGCATAACGTGTAGCGGGACAGACCCTGTCGACGTTAGGAGTGGCTAGTAGTAGTTGCTTCAGGTTAACCTCCTTGCTCCGATTACCTTGATCCTGTTTACGTCTCACCGCTCCAATCAAGCTGAGAATGGGGAATATGAATATGACTGCACGGACACTTGCGAGTGACATGTCTTCGTGTTCGTGGTGTCTTGTTGATGTTGGTCTGTTGACTTGTTGACTTACTGACTTGTTGATCTGCTGGTCCCTCGCCGGGAAACGGGTTGGCGAGACGGTTACGTTTGGTCCAGATCCCGGAAGCGTTTGATCACGGCCTTAATTGTTCTCAGGTCAGTTATTTCAGCCGCCAGTGGCAAAGAATAGGAACTCGGATACCGCGTCCGTCCCGTAGAGAACCCGCCGGTGGAATGCTTCCAAGCCGTTTGTTTCCATTGTGTTCTCGAGGGAATCAGTATGCGCGTCCTGTTGCCACTTTCTGGTATTGACCTGCTACGTTATTATTATTCACTGTTCCATGGCCGTTCATCCTGGACTCCCAAATTAACGTGGCGCTCATCCGCCGGATTCTGCGGCTTCCAATATGCTCCCTCCTTCCGTTTACCCACTGGAGTGGTGCTAGGCACATGTTTCCAATAATGCCATAACATCCTCGGCACGTTTTGAAGAAGTGGCAATCTCTTTTCACTTCGATTGAGTAGTGTGAGCTATATGTTGGTCATCACCTATAGTAAACGGGCAAATACCCTTGTCGACTGTTTGGTCAATACCCTGGTCACCACTGTAGCTTTTTGCTATTGAGAGGTTTGACGCTGTGACAGCTCAACAATGCCAGATTAAAGCTAGAAGTTGCGGTGTATATCTGGCCAAAACACTCGCAGCTCTGGCCAGTTCTTTTCAAGATAGATGAACTCTAGCTATAGACCGCCTTTGATGTTTGCCTTCACACGGCATCTCCTGCAGAGGGGCGTCGTCGACATTTGCATTAACCTGGAGTATCACCATACTCACAATTATCTCTTGAAATATGTAATCACTTTTAAGTATATATTTTACCATTAGGGGAGGTTGAAGGGAGAAATATCGCCGCTTATGCTGACGTGTGTATTTCTGTATTTGACAGTTGAGATATCGATGTCCATGGCCAGATTATTGGATATAGCTTCTTTCCCACGCGGCCATACCAAGTAGGTCGAGGGGAGACAGTGGCCCACCGTCTACCATTACACCACGAGGCATTTCCTTCGCCCTTTATTGACCCAGCTTGTAGAATTTAGTCCTTGGAGAGAGTAACAATGTGCTTCAACCTTGCCGATTTCTACTCAACAAAGACTTGCGATATCACATTCTTTTCTTTCAACAACACGAATCATACCAATATATAGGTAAGGAGATCTACTTATTGGGTCCTGCCGAAGTCCATGCATAAAAAGGCCCCCCCGTTTCAACAGGTGTATACAAGCATACATGACCTACCCGTACTGGACGGCCACGAAAGGTATTGATTAATTGGGTGATAAGGGGGTGGTATCTCAGCCCTAAAATTGAAGCTCCCGTCTTTTTACTAGGCCAGGTAGCTATCAGCCCGGCCGAACTCTAGCGCTAAAAGCGGCACTTGTTATCGCAGCCTTATTATTGTCGAGCACAACTATTTGATATGAATGAAAGAGTTGATATTGCCTATCTGCCATTATTATTGTTACGTGTCGGTTCTTTCTTCTAGTGCTAGATGATTATTCCCTATCATAGCACCTGGGGTTGTCTGGTTAGCCAATCAATATTAACTCATTGAACGTCGCTTCTCAGAGTACAAAGGGTGCCGCTACTGACGCAATTAACTAACTAGCAAGAGGCGTCTAGCGAATAGTCATCTGCCTGTTAGTCAACTCATAGACAATGGAGGCGCCGGTAAGCCGGCGGCAGGTACATGCCCCTATATATCCATATTATGTGAGGCATATACAATAATAGCAGACACGGAGAGCGCCGGGGGTTCGTGAGTTATCAGTGGCCGATCCCATCCAAGCATCCGAAAGATAACCAGCCGGACGGCTAGCTAATTGACTAGTTATTAACTTAGGTAGCCAGAGTGACACCTAGATAAGAGAAGAAAGAGGACTGCATTCGCTATCTCCGTTATCGGACAGATATCTGCCATCGGCTGTCCCTTATCTCTACTTCTCGCTCCATGGCTAGTCGACTTTCATATGCTGAATGCTCGGCTCGGCAGACTCCGCCCCTTTATCTCCTTTTGGCATTATCTCGCATGAACAGCGCGGACGGCTTGGGCGGCCGAATCTCTGAGCGAATAGAAGGTTTGGGGGCAAGCGTTAATCTCCGACCTTGGCCTGCGTGGGATGCGCGGTGCAAGATGTTCCGTTGATAGCGCGCAAGCGTAGAGAGTAGTGAATAATTGTGATAGATAATGGGGAAGCGGAGAGTGAATAATTGGCTATCAGCAGAGGTGTTGCGGCGCCGTAGGTGCGAGTTGGCGTTCCTGGGGATGGGGAGATCCCGACTGTTATCTCTAGTTATCTCTACAATGTTGGTTGGGAGGAACCGGGAAATTGTCTTGAGCCTCCATCCAAGCTCATGAGTCTGGCTGGGTTTATTAAGCTATTAACCTTTCCCTCGTCCTTCATCGTCATCCTCATATTTTCTTCCTACCTGCTCCTATCTCGTCCTTTGCTCCATCTCATGTTCCCCGGCTGCTGGCCTCTTAGATCCCTGTTATCTTTATCAAGCTCATAGCTACCGACACATCGACGACCGCACCCACTTAGCGATCGCAGGATTTCCTGTTCAGTGTCAACATAAACAGAGGTAGAGAGGAAGTCTTGATAAGGAGTAAACATGTCCAACTTGCCCATGGAGCCGGAGTTCGAACAGGCCTATAAAGGTTAGTGCTGATATGATGACGTACTTTGAGTCGATCTCGGTGAGGAAGAGGTGAAGCCAGGATCCTAACAAGGTGATATATAGAGCTTGCTTGGACACTTGAGAACTCGACCATCTTCAAGAAACACCCGGAATACAGGAAGGCATTGCTCGTTGCCTCTATCCCAGAGCGAATAATCCAGTTCCGTGTCACATGGGAAGATGACAAGGGCCAAGTAGGTTGATTCCAATTCATACGGGTAAAGGTAGAGGAAGGTGCTGACAAGCTGCTGTTATAGCTGCAAGTCAACCGGGGCTACCGGGTGCAGTTCAACTCAGCCCTGGGTCCGTACAAGGGTGGCCTGCGATTCCATCCAACAGGTTAGACGCTATCCCACCTGTTCTTACCGGATAAGAATAATAAGCTAACATTGGCTGCTGCAGTCAACTTGTCCATCTTGAAGTTCCTGGGCTTTGAGCAGATCTTCAAGAATGCTCTCACAGGCCGTACGTATCCTCTTCGATAGTATTGTTTCTAACAGCGATCGAGAGTGGCCGGGCTAATGTAATAGCTGTATGGTAGTGAACATGGGTGGTGGTAAAGGAGGCGCCGATTTCGATCCAAAGGGGAAATCTGACAACGAGATTCGGAAATTCTGCAGCGCGTTCATGATGGAGCTAAGCAAGCATATTGGAGCGGACGTGGATGTGCCGGCTGGTGACATCGGAGTTGGTGGTCGCGAGATCGGGTTCCTCTTTGGCGCTTACAAGAGGCAGAGACATATCTGGGAAGGAGTGCTGACCGGAAAGGGAAACAGCTGGGGCGGAAGTCTGATCCGACCAGAGGCGACTGGATACGGCCTTGTCTATGTGAGTCTCCTAATCTGAATGATTTTTTGTGATGACGCATGATTGCTAACAAGGCAATGCTGCTGTATAGTATGTCCAGCACATGATCAAGCACGCCACAAATGGTTTGGAGAGCTTCGCAGGCAAGCGAGTAGCTATATCTGGATCAGGGAACGTGGCTCAATATGCTGCTCTCAAGGTGATCGAGTTTGGCGGCATTGTTGTCTCTCTCAGTGACAGCAAGGGAAGTTTCATTGTCCGGGGCGGCGAGGACTCCTCCATCACACCCGAGGAGATCCGCTTGATTATGGCACTCAAGGATGAGAGGAAGCCGCTATCCGGCATTGCGAGCCATGAAGCCTTCGCCAGCAGATGCGAATATATCGAGGGTGCAAGACCATGGGTTCACGTTGGCAAAGTGGATGTTGTGCTTCCATGCGCGACTCAGAACGAAGTCTCGGGTGAAGAGGCCAAAGTGCTTGTGGCTAACGGCGCACGCTTTGTCGCCGAAGGATCCAACATGGGCTGCACGTTGGACGCCATTGAACACTTCGAGGCGCACAGAAATGAACACAATCGTGATCAGGGCGCAGTGTGGTACGCGCCTGGAAAAGCAGCAAATGCGGGAGGAGTTGCAGTCAGTGGGTTGGAGATGGCTCAGAACTCCCAGAGACTGACGTGGACTGCAGAGGAAGTGGACGGGAAGTTACAGGCTATCATGAAGGAATGCTTTGAGACTGGGTTGAGGACAGCGAAGGAGTACACGGAGGTGGAGGATGACAAGCTACCATCTCTGGTGGCAGGAAGCAACATTGCAGGTTTCATCAAGGTATCTGAAGCCATGCGAGACCACGGTGATTGGTTCTGAACAAAAGAAAGACGCCTTCCTTCCTGCTCCTCTTTTTTTGTGAAAAACTTTCGGCGGTTTCTGTTGGCGTTCTGGTGCCATTATTATTCCTTGATCTTTTTCCGTTCGAACATTGTGATTCCTTCGTCTCGGGCTGGGTATTTGACATGGCAGATTCCTTGATTTTTCTTGTATGCACCGAATGGACATATCACGGCGTGGGACTTAGAATGTCATATTTTCCTTGCCCCGAGTGCAACACACATACAACATTCCATTTTTTCCATCGAGGCACCGAATCTTATTTCCATTGCTTTTTTTTTTTAATGTTTATTTTATTCCCTGTTTCTTTTGGCGTAGAATGCTCAAGTGACAATTGGTGACATGTTCTATTTTGAGCCGAAGTTTTCTTTTCTCTCTCGTTCTCTAACGGAGACTTGCAGGGCACTTTATTATTTTAGGGCGTGTTGGAATCCCACAACTGGTACTCTCCGTAACCATGCATGATGTAAACGAGCATGCATGGGAAGACTTGATGGGCTGGAAATAAAAAAAAGTATCATCATGACCGTATATATACCGGCAGTCGCAGTCTGCGCTCGCTCCGAGATACGAGAGCGTAAAATTACGCGCTGGATGGCGAGGGCACCTTGGAAGAGACCGGCCAGCTCAGCCTTGGACATGGGTTTTGCGTGGATTTCTTTGGGAGTGGAGCAAGGGCGGGATGGGCTCCATAACTGACGGCTGTCAGCCCCATGAGCGCTGGGTCTTGACAGCCATGTCGACGACGCTGACGCTGACGCTGACACTGACGCCGATGCTGCTGTCGTTGCGGTTGTGATGAGATGTTCTTCGTAAGTAGATGAAGATGAAGTCGAAGAGATGTAGTTAAAGATGCCGAAAGGGGCAAGGCGGTGAAGAGCGGCAGCAAGGGCTCAACTTCGACTTCGACTTCAACTTCAGCTTTTCTTCTTCTCTAAAGCTTCACAACGTTGACGAGACGCAGCAGGATGACGACAGTGACGGACAGGCGAGAGAGGAGCGAATTGAAGAGCCGACTGGCGCCTTCGGGATGCACCTCTGAGCTGCTGGAACGTGGCAGCGAGGGAAGATCGCACACCAAATGGAAGCGGTCACGTCGAGACTGGCAGCCAGCGCATAGAGTGCTGTCGAGACGCCCGGATGCCGAGATGTTGGGCTCCGAGACGCCCGATTCCTGGTTGAAGCCCCTGTCCCCTGTCCCCTGCCTGGTTCATGATCTTCTCTGGCTCTCTGATTCTGAACCCCCTATCGCCACGAACCAGCGCCAACAGAAGCCAGAGGGACAGCCAGCGGGAGCCAGAACGGTCTCTTATCCTCCACGAAAAGCACGAAAAATAGCCTCCAAAACAGGGACTCCACGATAAGAAAATGCAAACCCACAGTAAAGTTGAGGAACCTCGCAGCGGAGGGCGAGCTTCGTGATATCATTGGTGGCCCTCGCGAGATGAGTGGCTTACAGCGCGGATGCTGAGTGGATGACGGCGCAGGAACATAAAGTGATATGCGGCCGATCCGGGTTTCAGACGTCCAAAAAAATCCCTTTGCAGGATCTTTTCTCCCTCCACTGACTCTGCCTCTTGCTCAGCAGTCGCACCAACCTACACACACCGCCAGCCGGCCCTCCATAAGCAGTGTAAACGGAATGCGGGAAATTTCCTCCGCGCAGGACAATTGCAGGACAATTAGACCAACAGGAGAGACAGGAGGACGGCTTGAGGCAGCGCCCCGTATCATTATTCTGATTCAGCAACAAGCAGAGGACGCCATGTCAGCCGCGTCTCTTGGATGGTGGCGGCTAGTCAGGAAGCGGGCTAGGCTCAGGGGTCAGAAAGCGAAAAAAAAAGGCTCTTCTCGTACATCAGGCACACTTCCAGGGGCTGTGGCCAGTAAGCGTTGCCGCATGGCTCCTTTGCTCTGCCTCGATGCTTTGTTGGCGCTGTGGGAAGTGTCGTTGCTCAAGGGCTGCGTTATTAGCCTTCCAAACCCTTTATCTACCCTGCCCTCTCCCGCTCCTCGTCCGTCTCTCTTCTTTCTTCCTTCTCTCTCTCCCTCGCTCCCTCTCTTGTTCGTTACCAACATTCTCTCGTACCAAGCCATTCTCTCTCTCTTTTCCAGAGCAGCTTGATTCTTGCGGCACAGCATTCCTTTTGGTGTCCTTGACTCTCGCCCGTCTCTACTCACTCTCTCTCAACTCTTTGCCTGGTGCATTGTGTTCATTTTTTTTGGAATCGCTTGGTCCGATTCTCAACCGTCTTTCTGAACATACAAACCGTCCTTTGCAGCTCACTCTTTGGCTGTCTGTCCCTCGTCGAACGAGAAATATCACATATATCAGATCTATAAAAAGAACCACCGTCGAAATGGCTCCCCAGTTCCTCAAGGCCCTCACTGTCGCCACGGCTCTCGGCGCTACTCTCGCGACCGCACTTCCGGTCCAGCCGAAACCCACCGTCTGGCACACTACCACCCAGGTCGTTGTCAAGACCATCACCAAGACCGCGACTGTTCACGGTACTCCAGGACCTGACTACACTGTCCCGCCAGCCTACACCACGCCAGCTGCCCCGACTGTCCCAACCGACGCTCCACAGCAGCCCTCGTACACGCCAGTTCCTCCGGCTCCAGCACCCTCTTCCAGCAGCTCTTACAGTGCCCCTGCTGAGCCTTCGTCCTCCTCCGTCCCCGCTCCTCCCCCACCGCCACCAACCACCACGTCTACTCCTGCTCCAGCGCCAACGACCTCCACCACTCCTCCTCCACCTCCACCGGCCATGACCACCCCACCACCACCACCTCCTCCACCAGCTACCAAGCCACCAGTCGTCAGCATCCCACCAATTGGCGGCGGAGGCAGCACCTACACTGGTCCATGTGCTGCCGGCTCTCCATGCACTGGTGAAATCACCTTCTACGACGGTGGTCTTGGTGCTTGCGGTACCAACATTGACACCAACGGCGAGGATGCCATTGCTCTCCCCATCGAGCTCATGGGCCCTCTCAGCAACAACAACCCATACTGTGGAAAGCAGGTCCAGATCTCCTACAAGGGCAAGACCGCTACTGCTACTGTCAAGGACAAGTGTGCTGGCTGTACCGGAAACAACATCGACATGACCCGCTTCCTCTTCTACAAGTTGTAAGTTATTCCCACTTTTAGAATTCGGTTCCTGGTGGCATTCACTAACTCCTCAAACAGCGGTGTCGAGGCTGATGGCCGTATCCACGGTGTCGAATGGCACTTCATCTAAGCTATATCATACCCGTCATGGGGGACTGATGTAGTTTAGGTACTTGCCTTTTGCAGTTTCTTGTACATCTAGCAGTTTGTTTGCTCACTCCCCATGAAACTAGACGTCTTCAAACTCTTTTTGTCTTCATCTTTTTTCATGGGAGAAAGTTATGGGGATAGCATAGCATTCTTTTTCTTTTTGCGCTGTTTCTCATGGGACGGGATGGGGTTATCGGGGAATTCTGGCTTGGAGATACTTCATCATTCGCTTTTCGCTTCGTTCCTGCTTTGTCTCTTATCTCGAGGACATTCGCGGGCCCTTTTTTTTTTTCCACTTCTATACCGTCCTGTCTAACGACCTTTTTACCTTTCATCCAGCCGATTGCAGCAATGCTGCATGATTTACATTGACCACTTCGACCTTTTTCCCCCTTCTCTGCACAAAATGTTTCCTGTTCCTGTTTTATGGAACCCAGATAGAATGGATTACGACAAACACGAAATCTACTTTATGACTTTTCTTCATTTTTCTTTGCCATTCTTCCCTTTGCCGAGTCAAGTCATCCAGCTGATCCATTCCGTCTGTTGCTCCTTGTTACCTTCGTTCGTGTGGAATAGAACTTGCTCCTACTTTCCTATGTCTTACCGTCATCTCATCGTCGTCACTCGTTCATACTGCTTGATCTCTGTAGTTTGGCCGCCAGTTTCACCCAACGGGCTGTAGTTCAGGGGTTTCCCGTGTGTAAACATCTTGATATCGACAACAACAACAACAACACTAACACCACCAGCGACGACGACGGCAACATCATCATCATCATTATCATCACCAGCAGCAGCAGCAACAACTGCCGGCACCATCACACGAGCAGCCCCAAGACAGGGATAGATCTGTGAATATCGGTGTCAGAGACTCGCTGTCTCGGAGGATTATTACCTATCGCATCCATAGCACCCCGACTCCCTGACAACGGCGTCCATGGCTTGCATGCAGCAAATAATACACCCCATAGCTACAGCTTAACTTCTTGCTCTACATCCCATCATCATACTCCGTACATCGCTTGCCATCAAGCTCCAGCTTAAGGCTTCGGCTCCAGGTACGGATCGAGCATGATATCCTGCACATCACTCTTATATTTTCGGCCGGGTTGGCCTTCTATCTTTCTTTTTCCCCTTCTTGTTTCTCTAACTAGCGGACTAGCTCTGCCTCTGCTGTTCGCCGAAGCTGTTGTCTGTCGACCGCCGTGTCAGTTGCCAGCCCTAGTGCTCTCTCCCCCGCGGATCAGCCCGTTTCACTGACTAGAACCAGGTAGATGCCGCTCTCCAAGACGAGACAATCCCCGATCGTGATCTCCCTCTCCTCCCAACAGCAAGACAAGGGACGGGGGCGGGCGGGTGAGCGGACGAACCGCGCGAATCAAGGAAAGGCAGGCCAGCAAAAGAGTAGTGGAAAATGGGACGTCTTTGGTGGGAACGAGCGCCACGTATCACGAAACGGATCGAGGCTGAAATCAACGAACTGCGCCGGGCCTAAGGGAGAGAGAGAGGAGAGGAGATGGGATCGAACCTGCAGAAAACACACTCGATGAGATCGCCTCTTCGCCAAATTCGACTGGACGGCCGGGCGAACCATGGTTTCTTTTGGACTTGGGCCCTTTCTTCTCCCTTGCAAGCCTCTCCACCGAGAGTCTCCATCGCCCTCGCACTACCTGCAGACTAACGTGTCTGGGCAACATACTAGCTGGGGGCCGAGGACTGGAATGGACGCTGGGTGGCTGCCCAGCCGGTGGTGCTGCATCTCATGATGAGGAGACGTGAGGGAATCGATACGGGGTTTGCGCCGCTGGTGCGAGGGAAGGCGATAATCTTGTGGTGATAATCCGTCCATGGCCTCTTCTTTCAGTCCCTCTCGAACAACGGACGCTTGACGGCCTCAGATCCTTCGTCTGGTCTCCTCCTGGGCTGCCGCTTGTGGTTCTTATTCTTGTCCTACGTTCCTGTTGCCGGCCGGGGGGTGGAAAAGCCGTCGACGCTCTTTGTTTAGGGAGGAGGCATTTTGCTTCTTCCAGGGGAGTTTGATAGACGGCGGATGCGCGCCCACGCATGTGAGTTGTGTCTATTATACGGGGCCTCGAGTCAGATTCGCCTGCTTTGACCCTTCGCCGCCTGGCTCTCGATCTCGCCGTCTCCTCCTCTCCCCCATATTGTTATTATTATTATTCAACTAGTTCGTTTCCATCTCCTTCTTCTCCGTCGGCCTCGTTTTCCCATCTCGCAACCTTCTTTTTCGCTATAACCTTCTTTTCTTCCCTTTCGTCCTTCTTCCAACCGTCTTTTTTTCTCTTCCTTCTTC